TAGAGATTTTATAATAAAGTTCGCTATATGGGACTTATGTTTACATAACGAATTGATACTAAGTTTAAACTAAAAAATATGTTACAGTCACGAATCTTCAGAAATATTGCTTCGATATATCAATAACTTAGCAAATGGCATGTGCGAATGGTAAAGGTTTCAAAGTTTTATTGAAATTAAATAAATCGATTATTAATTAGCAGATCGGTCACGTGACCCGAAATCTTGGATCGTCATCGTCACGGTCGGTGGGCCGGAGATGATCGGTAATGCACGTGACCCGAAATTTTCTTGGTCGCCCTGGTGGATTCATATTATGTCGGTTGCAATTTGCACATTTTCCATTATCTTCATCTCTTTCAAACAAAATTCATCGAATACCAACAAATACAGTCAAAACCTCTCTATAGTCACACTTTTAGAATACAAACAAACTATAATTATAAAGAGATCTGACTAATATAGAGATATTTTTTAATATAGTTATAAATAATTAGTAAAATAAATTTGTAATTATATTAATTTTGTGACTATAGAGGAGGTTAACTGTACCAGTTTTTTACAGTATGATGAGTTAGTCCATACACTTTATGCTCGCTATTCTTTATATAATCTATAAACTTATTAAACATTTATAAATATGTAGCAATACAATATAATAATAATTTAAATCTTACTTCAGGCAAAATTGCTCTCCCGACATTTTTGATTAGTACATCAAGACAACACTCGTTTCTTGTATTTTCGGGCACTTATTCTTTTTGCTTCGTGTAGATTTGATTGGTTAAGTTATGTAGATATCCCAAATAAGGAAATTTAAAAACGGTTCTGGTTCATAATGAAAAGCGAAGAACTATATAGAGACAATGCAAAATCATATGTCATTTGTTGAGAATCATAGCATAGGCATATGTCAACGACACATGAATAATGCAAGTATCGAACGATGGGAACGCAAAACATCAGCTTGGAACCCGAAGTTTTGTCCTAACGGCTAACCCACTCGAGATGGATGAATGTGTGATTCTACTATTCTCCACTCTCATATTTCTTTGCTCATATTTTTTTATTTTCTCACCTCACAGCCGGCTTGCTTGGCAGGTGAAAAACCACTGGCTGATAAATCCTTCAGCATATTCTAGCACAATAGTTGTTGCAAACTTTGATGTCATTGCTACCCTGGCCAGTCACTCGCTTCTTTATTTTCATGTACTAGAAATCAGTTTAATTGCTTTAATAAAAATCAAAAGTAGACTGCTGGCATAACAATGCTTTTTGTCCAAAGAATAAAATTTGTCAGTCCCGAATTTGATTGCATATCAAGCCAAATCCAAACAGGACCCGAATAATTATACGTAACAGAGGTTATATTTGAGCCATTAGCAGTTTTTCTGCAATTTTATTGGATAAAAAAAAAAATTTAGCCAATCAAATTGCTTAATTTTGCATATGACCTCCATTAATATTGCTCGGGGTCCTTTCTAAACCTTACCAATAAAAAAAGTCACATTATATAATTAATTATACAGTAGCGGTAATGGTAATTCTGGATGTCTCAATCAAAATTAAAGATATCATCTGCGTACCTGGAACGGCATCAGGGCGCCGCGGTGCTAGATGACGTTGGAGCTACCAATTAGTAAAAAAAAAAAACGAATTTCAAATTTTAACTAACAATAATATGCGAAAGAATAATAATTCTAATGTATTTATTACATAAAACGTTTCATTTTTTGTAATTTATTTTTATAATTATATTTCTTTAGTTTGCATTTTTTCGAGTTTTCATTTAATGATTCTTTGTCGTATTAAGAAAGTCGAACTCTTTTCGAACCATTTCTATTTTGAGAAGAGTTTTTGTTAAAAGGGAGAATTAACAGTTTTTCCATCATCAATAATAAAGCATCGTCATAAGCTTTTAAATATTAGCGAAAAACTGATTTATTAAAATGGAATTAACGTTAAGTTCAGAAGCATGGATGGATATCTGGAGTAATACCCGCTCGATTTGGATTGCTCGATCATTTCTTAATTTAGGTTACTTGTTCATAAATTTAAAGGTTTTCTTTGACAATCTCTTGGTCAAACAAAAATCATTAAATTTGGTTAGATGGTAGTCGAGGAGACCTTGCTCAAAGTTTTATAAAATGTTAATAAAATTTTAAATAGACGGGGTATACTGTATTTTTTTAAACTTTGGTTCAGGTTTTTATTGATAACTATTTGGTCAAATTCGATAAACTTTTTTATTTTAATTTTATATATCGATATGTATAGAATTTTAGATAATTACAAAATATCTTTAATAATATCTACAATTTTTAACATTGTTAAGTAAGATCTATTACTTTATTTGCCAAAGGCAATTTCCCAATAAAAAAAGATTTTTAATTAAGTTATTTATATATTTGAGTTTATAATAAAATTAATACTAAATTTGCAAATTATTTTCCAGATAATAGATTATTTATTATAGAATGTTGCTATTTACCGCCAGTGGCGATATCACGACTCTCCCACAAAAAATTGTTCACCCCCTGTAATTTTGACCAATCGAATTTCAGGATCAGGTGTAACGTAAAAATTGAAACGATGTTTTACTAATAGGCATTATATTGTTCTAATTCTAACCCTAATTATAACACGTTTTCTTGGGTTTCATTTTACGCGGTTAAAAAACAAAACACGTTTGTTTTGACACTGATCTTAAAGTTTGATTGGTCAAAATTACTGGGGATGAACAATTTTTTGTGGGAACGCTACCTAAAATCGATGATACCGGGGGTACTATATCTCAAAAAACCAACTAGCTAATTCACGTCAGGGTACTAAGTAAAAATGTTCAGGACCCCAAAAAAATCTATCCATAACTAAAATTTAGAACTTTATATCTAACTCTAACCTTGGTCTAAAATTGTATTCTAACCCTAAATTTTGATAAAAATATTTGAAAGAGTTTTTGTAAATTGAAAATAACCATTTATTTTTGATAATTTTGTGCTTAAATACTATAAAAATATAAAAGTCAAAGTTCAAAATTATAAGCCTGCTTTTGGGATATAATTATTAATATATATTACAGTATATATTGATACGTATAGTAAAAAAATCTATACTATATAAAGAAATGATTATTCAATATATATTTTAAAAATCTTTAAATAAATATAATATTTATTTAAAACACAAATTTATTAAAAATTGCTTAGTTATTTTCAAACTTTTTGAACTTAAGCTAAACTTCGCAAATTAATAAATCAATATTATTAGTAATCATATTTTGCCAAGACACGTAGTTTTCAAAACCAGGTGCACCCAAAAGTTTATCGCTGAAAGAAGCACAAAAAAGGTGTAAGATTTTTCACGCGACTCAAATTTGTGTTATTTGTTCGGGTCACTTTTAATATTTCATGCTGCGGCCGTGAAGTGCATCATATGACTAAAACTCTTGGAAGTTACATTAGTTAATTCAGATGCTATCTATAAAAAAAATTTTTTTAGTTGGTTGGTCCTAATTAAATTTACAATTTGACTAATTTGACAAATAAAATTCTTGGACCGGACTAGTCAAATTGGTCTGGTCAAACCAACACTGGATATAACATATTTTCCTTAGCGTTAGTAACAGATGAATAACACAGACTATATTCACGCAGGATAATCTTGGCTTCGTTATAGTGAAATCGTCGAACCGAGAAAAAAGATCTTATATCGAGAGAATACTATATGCATTTCACTATATCAATTCAAACTTCTTTACTACATCGAATCGTCACTATCTCAAGAGTTCAGTCCAAACCTTGTTAGATAATTGCACTCCAAGCTTTTATACATATATATATATATAGTTTTAATTTTAACTAGAAAGTAAAGTATATATACAGGCAGGTTCTATTTTAAATAAAACATACAAATATTGATATATAAAGACACACCAATTTAACGACAAACTACATCAAACTACAGTACATCAAAACTCATCCAGTCATACACCAAATCTCCAGTTTATTGTCTTTTTTATACAATTTCAAAGCAGTTTCGAAATCGGCGGTGTTAACTATGGTAATATGTTCACCATCATCATCCTTATAATAAATCTTTGTTATATTATGGACATTAGAGGCATCAATAATGGCGTGCTTAATATCTTCGAATTGAGAATGAGATTTGAAACGTAGAATACGGATATCACCATCTATGTGACACTTAATTAAAAAATCTTCACCCTGACAATTTTTTTTCAAATTGAAGTATTATAAATGAAACAATTATAAAAAACAAAATAAAAATGGATATTTAATACCTGAGTCAAGTGTAAGCTAGTCATATAACCCCAATTTGCAATATAAGTTTTATTGCCCTTGTATTTGTTATTCTTATTCACAAGATAATTTATATGCAATCCAGCAATGTCTATAGCCTGTTGTGGTGTTCTTTCCTGAGCAATCATGCTAATAGACGACGTTCTGTCTAAACATTCATCACAACCGTTAGTTGCAAAACAAATATATATATATATGTATGTATATGTGAAATAATATAAAATAGAATTTAGAAAATTGAGTATTGAAGTTTTGTAATTTACTGCCATAGCGAAACAACGTCTACAATTTTTTTTTTCAAAAATCAATTGTAACGCGAAATTTGCTTATGAAACCACCTCTTGCGTCCTAACCCTCTCCAAATTTTGGGTTAAAACCTATTTCCTATGGCCCTACCCTAACCCAAGTCTAATCCTAAACTAATGGGTTATATAATCTATTGTTTTGATTTCACGTTGCTACGGAAGTAAATTACTAAATTCACAGAAGGGAGGTATAAATACTAACTCAAATTTTTACGTATAGGATCATCGCCAACGAAACCGTCCTTTGAAGCATATGAAATCTGCAATTGAAAAATATTTAGCGGGTATGCGCAATCATATATTTAACACGTTCAAATAAATCGCTCACCAAATTGGAGCAGTTCTTTTTCAATGTTAATACTATGAGATTAAATTGCACATTAGAGATAGCTTCCAAAGAATTAATAGGAATATAAATCTTTGCATTATTTTCGTTCAAAAAAATCGAGATTCCTTCTTCAAGATACTTGTATCGAAATTTCAACTTGTAATCATTAACAGTATCGACAGATTCCTGATATTCATTGATGTTAATGCTTGCAAGATAAAACTCAATATGTTGTGGTTGGTAGTATTGACGTAAAGTGTTTTCCCTCTCATAATTTGGTATCTTTCTGTTACGCGGTGTTCTCTTGTTAAAAGTACCACGTTGAAATTGCTTCGAATGACCATTCGAATTAATGTTAGATTTAACATTGGTGTTTTTGTAATAATTTGTTTCATTAGAATATCCATTACTATTTGGTTTCGCGTGAACCTTGATTAATTGACGTGTGAGAAATTGCGTTACATATCAAAATTAACCGATACTAACAATCCTTACCCATTGAACATTATCCATTGTTTGAAAGTTTATTAATGTTTATAAACCTTGACATTGGCAATTTATTTCTTGGTTTGAACCAAAATTTGTCAAGAACTTATTAAATAAAGATTAGATGTTGATAATAAATTGGCGATTGGTCTTTTGAAAAAAGATTTCAGAAAAAGAAAATCCTTTACTTTTAAACCATCTCATTAATATAAGCCACGATAACTTTAAATAGGGTCAAGAGATATAGCGATAAGTATATAGACATGTAAACGATTATATAATTTTGGATACGGCTTGGTGTGACACTATTAAATCTGGTTTTACTTTACGTACGTACAGTAGCCAACAAAAGTAACGCCCGATTTTTGCTCAATATGGAAATTTTTTTATTAATAAAAATTT